ATCTTGCCCAGACACCAAGTTTGGCCTTTTCCTTGCGCTACTGTATTACTGGATAATAAAAATTAAAGGGGGCATTTATATTGCCACAGTTGTCTCCACTGATGAGTCTTTTTGTCTTTAAGATTTTCTTTAGCAAGCATTCCTTACCGCTTCCACTGACTAGGTTCAAAGAAGCTCCCAACTTTACTGCTAAAGTGCATAAAGTAGTCACTGGCCACGTTTGGTTAGGCAGTCAAGCATTTCTAGGGTGGAGTTCCATCATGCAGAAACATTGCTAAAGAGTATGTGAAATGGAAGTCTTTAAGAATGTGTTTTAACTTCCAAAATATGCTGATGTGGGTATAAACTCTTCTGGTAATGCCTATGATGTTTTACAACGCTCAACATTTTTTTAGGAATGTTTGCACCACTAAATAAATAATATGAGTCAAGCAGAGAGTGTGTGTCACTTTTCTTAAGTGCAGTGAAGTTACAATGTTGTTGTGCAGTGAAGTTACAATGTTGTTGCTGTTGTAGTTCACCATACTATCCATTTGGAGAATGTGGGGAAAACCAACAGACAATTTGCTGATGGATACATGCCAGTAACGTATCTGCTTTGTGGCTATTGTCCCTCCAGTTCATAAAGTGCAATATAGCATGACAGTGCTTTGCAAAATGAAATGATGTGGAGAAAGACAAAGAACAGTTAGCTATATTGCTTTTAGGAATGGGAAAATACAGGGAGGAGAAATATCTGATCATACTGCCAGGACCGGTGTTAGACTATTTTGCGCCCTAGGCAAGACCAGCTACTTGCACCCCCCCCAAAAAAAAGAATAAAACTGTACACACTGCCCCCCTTATTGCACATAATGCTTCCCCTTTAACCCAGAACCCCCCTTCTTGTATACACTGCCTCCCTTCCTGCATACACTGCCCTCCTATTTTCCCTCCACATGCTGCCCCCCTTTAACCCCCTACACCCCCTTCCTGCACACACTGCCCCCCTTTAACGTTACACCACCTTCCTGCACACACTGCCCCCCTTTAAGGCTACACCCTCTTCCTACACACACTGCCCCCTTTCCTGCACACACTGTGCACTTTAACCCTACACCCCCCCTTCCTGTACACACTGCCCCCTTTTAACTCTACACCCCCTTCCTGCACATACTGACTCCCTTCAATGCTACGCCCTCTTCCTGCTCACACTTCCCCCCTTCCTGCATGCACTGTGCATTTTAACCCTACACCCCCCTTCCTGTACACACTGCCCCCCTTTAACTCTACACCCCTTCCTGCACATACTGACCCCCTTCAATGCTACGCCCTCTTCCTGCTCACACTTCCCCCCTTCCTGCATGCACTGTGCATTTTAACCCTACACCCTCCCCCCTTCCTGCACACACTAACCCCCTTTAACGGTACACCCTCTTCCTGCACACACTGCCCCCCTTCCAGCACACACTGTGCCCTTTACCCTACACCCCCTTTCTGCACACACTGCCCCCCTTTATTACTACACCCCCTCTTCCTGCACACACTGCCCCCCTTCCTGAACACACTGCCCCCCTTTACCCCTACACCCACTTCCTGCAAACACTGTCCTCCTTCCGGTACACACTGCCCCCATTTAACCCTACACCCCCTTTCCCACACACACTGCCCCCCCCCCTTCCTGTACACACTGCTACCCTTTAACCTAACACTCCCTTCCCTCACACACTACCTCCCTTCCTGAACAAACCACCCCCCCCTTCCTGTACACACTGCTCCCTTTAATAGTACACCCCCTTTCCCGCACACACTGCCTCCCTTCCTGTACACACTGCCTTTAATGCTACACCCTCTTCCTCCCTTTAACCCTACAGCCCCCTTCCCTCACACACTTGTCCCCTTCCTGTACACACAGTTCCCTTTAACCCTACACCCCCTTTCCCTCACACACTGCCCCCCCCTTCCTGTGTACACACTGCTACCCTTTAACCCTACACCCCCTTTCCCTCACACACTGCCTCCCTTCCTGGACAAACCCCCCCCTTCCTGCACACACTGCCCCCCTTTAACCCTACACCTCCCTTCCTACACATGCTGCTGCCCCCCCTTCCTGTACACACTGCCCCTTTTAGTAGTACACCCCCATTCCCCTGCACACTGCCTCCCTTCCTGTACACACTGCCCCCTTTAACCCTATATCCCCCTCCTGCACACACTGCCCCCCTTTAACATTTCACCCCCCCTCCTGTACATACTGCCTCCCCCTCCTTCCCCTGTACAGGGAATTATAAAGGGATGTGACTAAGAGTTGACTAGACCGGAGGACTACCAGAGGATAAGCGGGTGGGATCCTTAGAAAAAAAAATGCACGTAGAGTGAATAGCTGGAAATGACTTACTGTGTGCTGGGGTGTGAAGTGGACAGAGAGCTGTGGGAGGCCGGCCTGGTGAATGGCAACAGCAAGTTCATGAAGCAGGTGACCTGTGACAATTGAAGAGGTGTGGCTTAGAAGGTGACATACGGGTTGGATGATCATGTTGTTATACTTTAACAGTGATTGGAGATCTGTGATGAAAGGGAGTGGCTTGGGGGAGTGGTAGCCGAGAGTTCTGTTATTGACATCAGGTTCTGGAGCCTGCAGTCTTGTACCTTGTGCCGGGACCTGCAGTGGGTCTGCAGGAAACCAGGACTATACTGGTGCCGGTTCTGGGTGGAGAATAGCGACCGTGGCTGTGCTCTAGGAGGCTGCCTAGTTCGCCTAGCAGTAGCGCGGGTCCTACCTACTGCTTGACCTGAACAGTCATAGCAATGCTCATAGCATAGGAAGTCCCAGTAGCATGTCACTTTACCGGAGTGTAAAGCACTTAAACAGTGATGGCTTAACAGCCTCATTGTGAGATAAGCAGAGTTCAGATTTTCTGAAAGGAGCTTGATTCCACTATGTATGGCATTATAGCACCATTATTTCTTGTCCATTTTTTAGTTTTAGTTGGCAGCATGTTTGCTAGACGTCTATTTCTGTCTCTTGTCCAGATGCTTTACAATGGATGAAAGTAGAGGAGAAAAAAAGTGAAATATGCCCTTGCTGTCAGAGGAGGAGAGACTGACTATACATAGCAGACTAGCTGTTGTACTTCAGCTTATTTTTTATGCACCAATCCCTGAAAATATACTGGTTTCCTTTTAATGACCCCTGCTTTTTCCATTTCAGCAGCTAGAACGGGTCACTGTAAGCACTGTGATCTGATAAGCAGAGAATGCTGATAATTTAATAAAAACACGATCATAGACAATTAAACATAGCACAGATGGAAAATACCTTTAGCAATGGTTCAATAAATACATACATGGACTATATATGGTAAGCACATTTGCAATGCTATAATCACCATTCATAAATTCTTACAACTTTGTAGCCTTTACTCTTTACAGTAGCTGCATGCCATGTATTCTTCATCTCTCAGTGCTCGCTGGAAGTGTCAGATATTTGTTTTATGGCATACAATCAGATCCTGGCTTCTACTTTTTAACCTGTCTCAGAAATTGGAATCTGCTGAAGAGTGGTCATTTATAGGCTTTCATATTAATGCTTGATTTTTACAAAATCAATTGGAAAGGGAGATGATCATCTAGCATACATCATTAGGGACAAGGGAATCATTTTAAAAGGGTTTTGACCTAGATTCAAAGTTCTGCAAACCAGCAGAGATTCCACAATATCACCCATCTGCTGTCTTTTTCTTTATTTAAAATCCAAGTTAAAAACAAAGTGCTGTCACTTACTCAGACATACCAAATACAGACACACCTTTCCAAAAACCAAGGTTTTCATCTATAATCATTTATTTAAGTAGGTCTCCTACATCCCTTCCCTCTCTACACTCCTGTAATGCATAGATGTATATTGACCCTAAATATTTTGTAATTAAATCCATTTATTTCTGTTAATCTTTGAACAGCTCTGGATTTACATGTGTTGTGGGAATGCGTTAACTTGTGCATTACTGCATTGTGTGGCAATGCACCCCAACACATTAAGGCAATGCACACTAGATGAAAAGCATGGCAACACACCATAGTGCATAATGGCAACAATTTTGTGACATGACCAATATGTAGTGCATTTAGGTGAATAAAAAGCCAATTGATTTCAACAGGCTGCCTTAATGCAATGCACATCAAAGTGTGACATAATATGTGCTAATGCATTAAGACACCAAAGAAATGTAAATGGTACCTCAATGAATTGACAACATGTAGTAAAAACACTCATGGATTGACTCAGTGATGTCTGCTCAATTATGCATATAGATACCTGCTTTATTGACACATGGGAGAGAGCCTATAGTACAAAACCCTTAAAGGATAACTTCACCTTTTAGACAAAAATAATAAATGCAGTTTTTTTGCACGTAAAAAAATGTGCATTTATTATTTTTTTCTACAGGAGCCTGAACAGTATTGCAACAGTGATTAATAGATGGCTGATGCCATGCAGGTCTCCTGCAGATCTGTCAGAATATCTGCTTGCCGTATGGGACGTATGAGGAAGCAGATATACTGACAGGAAGCTCCACAGCGCTCTGGTAGTTCATTGAAAACTACAATCCCACAGCCGCTAAGGCTGTTGGGACTTGCAGTTCATTCAGTCATGGAAGTCGGTGAATGAATGATGTGGCCGTGCTGTTTTCAAATGTGACTTCTCCCCGTACTATCTGTCAGAGGGAAGGGGTGGCGGCTGCAGCTATGGGAACATGTTACATGTTCCATCCTAAAAACGGGTGAAACATGTTCCCAAAGGTGAACTTATCCTTTAACAGCCTCCCGCCCACCATATAGTACAATGACGGTAGCAAGGCGTTTCTCTTGTTCTAGGAGGACGTCATATGACGTCTTCCCATTCTAAACGCGCATGCTCAGCTCCGGAAGCGCGCAACGTGGCAATGGGCGGTGTGCTGTGTCCCGCGGACACAGCGGATCACCGATCCAAGGAAAGAGCGAAAGATGTCGGCTCGGTCATGTGATCAGTTGTGTCCAATCACAGCTGATCACATGTAAACAGGGAAATGCTGGTTATCGGCATTTTTCTCTCCTCACAAGCTGTCACGCTGACAGCTCATGAGGAGAGGAGAGCCGGTAATCGTCATTCCTCGGAGGGGACATGTACACTGATCATCAGAGCACTGATGATCAGTGTGCCTTGATGATCTGTGTAGCCCCAGCATTGCCACCTGTCAGTGTCCATCAGTGCCAGCTGTCAGTGCTCATCCATGCCACCTGCAAGTGCCCATCAGTGCCACGTTTCAGTGCCTACTAGTGCACATCAATGCCACATATCAGTGCCCATCTGAGCTGCCTTTCAGTGTCACCCATCAGTGCCAGTCAGTGCCACCTATCAATGCCAGTCAGTGCCACCTATCAGTGCCACCTATCAGTGCTGCCAATCAGTGCCACCTATCAGTGCCAGTCAGTGCCGCCTATCAGTATGCATCAGTGCCGCCTATCAGTGCCCGTCAGTGCTGCCTATCAGTGCCAGTCAGTGCCACCTAACAGTGCCAGTCAGTGCCGCCTCAGTCAGTCAGTGCCGCCTATCAGTGCCATATATGAGTGCCATATATGAGTGCTGCCTTTCAGTGCCCATCAGTGATGCCTGTCAATGCCCATCACTGCCACCTACCAGTGCCTCCTCATCAGTGCCCATCAGTGCCACCTATCAGTGCCCATCACTGCAGCCTCATTAACGCACATCAGTGAAGGAGTAAAATCACTTATTTACAAAATTTTATAACAAAAACTAAGAAAAAACTTTTTTTTTTAAATTTCAGTGGTTTTTATTTGTGTATAAGAAAAAATAAAAAACCCAGAGGTGATTAAATACCACCAAAATAAAGCTCTATCTGTCACAAAAAATGATAAAAATTTCATATGAGTACAGTATTGCATGACCACGCAATTGTCATTCAAAGTGTGACAGTGCTGAAAGCTGGAACTTGGCATGGGCAGGAAGGGGGTATAAGTGCCCTGTAGGCTAGTGGTTAAGCACTGCATGCCTTCTGATGACATTCACTGGCAGTAAATTAGAAATATATTAAATTCTGGAAAGTCATGTTTGAAATATACAATGCAATTTGCCAAGCACGTCTTTCTCAAGCTCATATTTCTTCCCAATGTGACTGGGAAAGGGGACTTTTATTTAAAGTGTTACTAAACCCAGGACCCTGTATTCACTATATCTGGTCTCCCACAGTACAAAGAAAATGGAAATGCAATTATTTTAGTAAATATAAACTGCTAAATATCTTTTCTCATCAGCAGTTAGTGCAGTCTTGTGACTTCTATCAGTGTCCAGCAGAGCACTGGTTACAGCTTCTAGAAGTTTTCATTCTCCTGTAGGATGATGCAGGACCCTGACCTTGGTCTAGACAGTCCTGATTGGCCCTGTGCTGATCACTTGCACTCTGATCACATGCACAAAAAAAACCAAAAACCTCCAGCAATACACACCAAACTGAGCATGTGCAGCTTGCCCTCGAGCCTCTATTCTAAGAGGGTGACACTGAAAGAAGGGGATTGATCAGAAAAGATAGGATCAAATATCCTTTTTTCACAATGCAGAGGATTAACCCCTTAGGCTCCACAGTGAGTATGACAAGCATGCTTTACTGCATATACAGACTGATTTCATTGTTGCGAGTTTGGTAACACTTTAAGTTAACCTGAATGTCTCCAACTCTAGACAATGAATCTTTCGCTGACTGCTTGCTATTTAAATAATAGTAACCCACAACAGCTAAAACGTTTTAGGAACATGGAAGAGTTGGTATACAGCAACTGCCTCCTACTAAATCTTTTGGCAATAATGGTAAAAAACTCAATTAAAAAATATAAAGTTATTTTCATAAAATGCATATTCAGAAAACAGTGTGCTTTCAAAGTCAACCTTTTAGTAACTTTCCTAGTCAGCATGAATAAGTTTCTGACTTGTAACAAAACACAGCAACAGTATAATTTTTTTTTAAGTTCTGCTGTTAGGAGTGACTTTGCCTGGACTAATTTGATGTCATCCATCTGCTGCAGGCAGAAGGAAGCATTTCCTTAGTCTCCCCCCTCCATTGATCAGACTGCTACACTGTAACTTTGCAGCAGGTCACAAGGACAGAATGTACAAGAGGGGCAGATCTGTGTTAGAGCAAAGCTGAGAACTGCACAGGTGCTAGGATTTACATTTCTGTGTCATCTCTGAGCCAACATCACAGTCCAGTAAATACATGGTGAGTGTGGATAATGCCTAAAGTAAGATGGTGCCATCCTTCAAGAAAGAAAAGCAGATGAAGGCACTGTCAGGGGAAGGTATTGTGATCGCTGTGTGAGGTAATACATATTGGTAAGTGTTACACAACACTTAGCATGCATGCCCTTAGGATAAAAAGATATATCTGATGCTAGATCTGTTTTTGAGTGACCCAGTCACCACAGAATATACTGACCATTCCAGCAACCTGTGTATTGAGAAGCCACCAAAACTCTGTTCTCTAGGAGCTGGAAGTATTTGAATGACAGATAACTTTAAAAGGGTTGTGAAGGCTGAAGGTTTTTTTAGGCACTGTGCACGGGAGCCTCAGCTTTCCCAGGTCTCTTTCTCCTCATTGGCTTAGACACAGCAGTGGAGTCCATTGGCTCCTACTGCTGTCAATCACAGCCAGTGAGGAGCAAGTGGAGGCAGGAACATGCATGACTTCCCCCAGAGCAAGCGTCTTGTTGTGAGGACACTCAGCAAGAGGGAGGGACCAGGAGCGTGGTGGACCCAAGAAGAGGACAATCAGAGATTCTCTGTGCAAAGCAAAAAGAGCAGTAGCAGCAGAATGCAAATTATTGAAGTAGGCAATAAACACCCAAGCAATGTAGCTCATGTGTAAAATCACATATTGTTTATTAATCACATGTAGGGAAAAAAGAGTAATATCCGTGGATGATGACACATACAATCACTGAACACATATTAAAAACATGAAAAGGAAAGCAATCCAGATTGCAACCAGGGGTAGACTGACCATTTGGAAACTCGGCACTGCCTGAGGGCCCGGGGTCAGTAGGGGGCCCCATGAGATGCCCCTGGTACCTTTTTCATAGTCTTTTTTGAGTTTGGGCAAGGACACAGGGGCCCCATGATCCCCTATTGAGGGCCCGGGGTCAGTAGGGGGCCCCATGAGATGCCCCTGGTACCTTTTTCATAGGCTTTTTTTTTTTGAAAGGACACAGGGGCCCCATGATCCCCTATTGATGGACCCGGGGTCAGTAGGGGGCCCCATGAGATGCCCCTGGTACCTTTTTCATGGGCTTTTTTGAGTTTGGGCAAGGACACAGGGGTCCCATGATCCCCTATTGCCCGGGGACCCCATGAGTTGTCAGTCCGCCCCTGAATGCAATATTAGTATTTTTCAGTGGTAATCACTAAAGACTGGTTAATGATTTTGAGCAGCACTGATATGTTTCATATGAAACTATATTTAACATATAAACTGTAGAATACCGTATTGTCTCGATATTTTGTTAACTTGTATTGGTGAGAAAAGTTTAAAATAGAAAGTCCTTCCAACTCTTGTATAAACTCAAAAATTTAATTAATAATAATATTACATAGAATTAGAAATAAAATATTGGAATACAAAATGTTTAGATAATGTCCAATAAATATACTGTAGTTATGTTCTTAAGATAAAAATTATACGTAATTGTTTGTATAGTATGGTGTGAATTTGTAGGCTCCCTTAGCCTTGCTTCTAAAAAAGTGTGCCAAAAAAGTCTTTGTTCTGCTCTATAAAGAGCAATTCAGCCCCCACCTTCTGCTAAAAGTGGGCTGGTTTTCTTTTCTGTCTCTTGTAGTCCTACAATGGTATTTGTAAAAATATGTGAATTTACACATGAGCTGCGTTGCTTGGGTGTTTACTACCTACTTCAGTAGTTTGCATTCTGCTACTACTACTCTTTTTGCTATACAATTGTTTGGTTTACACCCACACTATAATTAAAGTGCGTTCATTGAGTTCAGCATTAGCTTACCCTACCTTTGTATTTTGTGGTAAATGTATACTTTTTGACTGCTCTGTGCAAAACCATTGCCACAGAGTAGGTAATGAAATGTTTGCTATTTAAAAAAAAAAAACAAAAAGGAAAAATAAGAGCCTTTAATATCACTTTAATACTTGATCCTACTGCCGACTGCTGTGGTTCCTCCTGCTGGCTCATATGTCCTGTAGTGAAGTACTAACCAGTGAGAGGTACCACAACAGCTGGTGAAAGCATGTTTTCTACAAACCGACATACCACAAAGCCAAAAAAGGTATGTACCTTCAAAAATTCAGTTTCTCAAATTCCTGGATCTTTGGAGGGCTTGCAGTTTTCATTGACACATGCATGATATTATAATAAGGCCTCATGCACATGGGACATTTAGCAGTTACGTTTGTGCTGAGGCATACATTTCCTGGTGCTTTCTGGTTCCTGGGAAGCCACATGTGCTGTGTGAACAGCCACCAATACAAGTGATTGGCTGTACGTGGCCTTGCTTGGGTAAACACCAATGGCTTCTACACCTGTGTTTACCCATGCATGCATGTATATACTGAATAATGCTTTGGAACTTTTAATCTAGGTAAAATCTCATTTTAAATGATTCCTGAATCCCTAACAATGGATGTTAGATGGACTTCGTCCATGAGCAGAAGTCATCAGCATTTATCCAAGCATGGTTACGTACAGTTATTCTCTGCCTAGGCTCCCCAAGTGCCTGAAAGCACACAGGAGTTGCAGAGTGTCTGTGTGCATGAGTCCTTACTCATGCCTGATCCATGATTTACTCTTATTACAATGGAGCTTGAATTATTCTTGCAAACATTACTCAAAAACCCGTGGGGAGAAAAATAGAGAAGCTGCCAGTGCAGACATCTTTCGGAAAGTGTTTTAATACCTTCTGAATCACTTACTTGGAACAAGTATGCAAATCAGAAAAATTTCAGAAAATTCAGTCCTTACAGTGTTATTAAATCCTGGTGAATAAATATGTTGAAGGCCTGGGCACGACAGAAAAAAATAACCCTATAGTCAGACCCCCTCACATTGCAATCTTGTTACGCCCAGGGGGTACAGGAGGCTGCTAAATTACTTACCAAACTCCTTGCTCTGGCCAGCTCTCGCTCTGTCCTCTTCTTCTCAAAGCTCCAGTCTGTGGATGGTCCCTCGGCATCATCACGTACAATGCAGGGCTATCAACCCTGTATTATACAAAGTGGGGGCAAACATGTGGAAGTAATGTGGGATACACAGGTGCTGAGGAGGTAGCAGTGCTCAAGATAACTGGAAAAAACTGTTTCAAAAAAGTGTATCTGAAAAATCAAGTATGTAATAAATATCTTGATTGTATTCCAGCATAGTTTTTCAAAACTGCATTTATCTGTATACGGTTCTCAGCATAAA